AACCTTTAAGCTATGTTTGGTTTGAAGGAAAAAATAGGGAAATGAAGGGAAATGTAGGAAAACCTATACAAGGTTTGAAAAAGTTTCTCCCTGCCTTTTCCTTTCTTTTCCTACTTTTTCCTTCAAACCAAATACAGCCTTAATGAAAGTGGCAATGATACCAAACACAACCATAAATCATTCCAACGCCCTATCAAACATGATGTGCAGTGTCAGATCTATTGGTAGGGTGTAGGGTGTTAGAACATGTTTTGTTGGCAGGAGATCTCAGCTCAGATCCTCTTTGTTTCTTCCCGCTTCATCTTCAACTAGCGATGGCAATGTAGGAAACTGTTCTGAAAACAGTAGCGGGAATCAAACCAGAAAAGCCCTAGTTCCCAGTTTTCATGGGTGAACTTGTAAAGCTTTCAGTTTTTCCTGTTTCCAGTGAATCGAAAGTGGGTATTGTTCCTATTAAACCCGGTTCAATCCACATTGGCCAGCTTTAAGGGGAAGTAGAACAGTAAACCAATGCGGTTCTGGTCTGGGGTTTGGCTCACCATTAGGTTACATACCTTGTTGTATGCCATATATTCACATTTCCAAAGCGAGAGCAACAACCGATAGTGGAAGCCTGGTAGATTGCAAATACAAACTGACAGTGTCATTGAAACTGAATTTAATCTAAACCTAGTTTAAAGAAATAGGAACATTTGATAAAAGAAAATAAGGAAATTGGACTGACCAAAAAACTTCAGGGTTGGGTTAGTGGTTCACAATAGCTAAGGATGATCTCATCCCAACATAATCTGGCCTGATTTACACCCTTACCTTTAAATTTGTAGACCCAAAATCAAAGCCCAATACCCTAAAGCCAATTATCAGAATATCGATATGATATGCTCCATATCAGATGTATTGTTTCTATATCGATGACCATGGGGATGTATGGATACACCAAATACACAAAGGTTTTTTAAACTTTAAAACTTTGGGATGATGGTTACATTCTTATAAAGCTCATCAAAATGAGTTCAAATCAGCTCCCTACAAGATTTCCCCCCACAACGTCCCACAGCACATCCCTGCTGTATATTGGGAACATTTTTCGATGATGACATCATCATTTCTGATATTATTATCGGGAGATGTTTCCAATACATGGCAAAAATGTATCATGGGACATTGTGACGGACAATCTTGGGGGGGCTGATTTGATCTCCATCAAAATAAAAGAAAGGAAAAACAGATGGTATCGATATCGGTTATATCGATATGCATTGATAAGTATTGGGTGTATCGGTATTTTTATCCCAATTCGCCAAAGCTACCCTAATTTGATTTGATGGGCAACGAATCTAAGCCTAGTCCAGTCGATGAGCATCTAAGCCCAATACTGGCTGGGGTCAAAACCAAATATGATTCGGTGTCATAAAGGCAAAAAGTGAAGTTCAATGCAACGTTATGTAACGCATATTTATATATGGGCCCCCAGGTCTGATGTAATACTCATCCAGTTGCAGTCCTAAACTCCTAGGAGGATAAGGCCCTAACCCTAACTCAGTAGTTCAGCTCTTCTGTGGAATTGGATTGGGCCGAGTAAGTATGATTTCCCCTAGAAAAGTTCACTTTTACTGAAGTGAAGCAAAGTGGGGTGGGGTGGAAAGATGGTTCACGGCATTCGTTTGCAGAGAGCAAAACTATTTGCCTTCATTTAGTAGCGTTGGATCGTGTGAAGTCTATTGAATTGTTACTGGAATCCCCTGTCACTCTGTCAGCAACGGCCACCAATCAATAGGGGAAAAAAACTTTTGTTCCAGATTAACGGTGATTGATAGGGCCACGCCTTCTTGTTTCTGAAAAAATTTATACTTTCCAATGACGTGGCTTCAACATCTACCGTGAATCTTTCGGACCCCTTCATCTTTTATGATAGGAAAGTCAAATTCACCAATAGGTTGGTTGCCCATCATGAACTGGGCCCAGATTTACTAGATTTAAAAGAATAGCCCAGCCTGACCCAGAAAGAAGTAATTGATAAAGAAAAAATGGGGTTATGGGTAAGGGTGTCAATTGGACTGGATTTGGTCCAATCAGGTTCGGTCTAAATGGATCAGGCCTAATCCAATCCGGTGAATATTCTGGACCATTTTGGGCCAGTCCAATTCAATGTCTGAACAGTCCAATCTGTTCAAATTGATTTTAATTTAGATAGGTTCCAACCTAAGCTTGGTCCATTGACACCTGTATTCTTATCTTCTATCAATGGATCATAGGATATTGGTTCAATCTGACCCAATCCAATATAAATCCATTATGAACGGACCAGGTTCAATCCAATGCAATAAACACATTATGAACGGACCAAGTCCAGACTGGTCCAATTCAATATGTTTTATTGGTCCATCCAATCTGTCCAAATTGTTTTTGATTTGGACAGGATCCAACCCAAAACCGATGCATTGACACCCCCCCTAGTTGTGTGTGCAGCTAATTTTGTTTTAGTCCCTGAGCTATCAAAGTGATTGTCATTGTCATGGGAGATGAGAAGCCCATTTGAACATGGAAATGAAAAAAAAAAAAAAAAACAGTTTATGATGGGACAAGAGAGAATAGAAATAAAAAATTTGGTTAAGAAACGATTTATAGAACCCAATCCAACCCAACCAAATGATTTATTCGTGACCCATTTCATTATCAAATCATCATTACCATCTAAAGCCCCACCCCACATATGGGGTTGGCTACATGAGTCCTATTTTACCATTCTCTTCTGTTCAGTATCCCATTATCAAATTATGAGCCTTAAATCATTTCTCATCGCTTCTATCTGTCTTTTTTTTATTTATTTATTTATCTCCAATTCCTTTCGTCTTCTCAGCTTGCAATAAATCATTTCTTATTCTTATGAGTGCGGTAATGGTTTTCTTTGCACGTGACCAAATCATCATTCAAATAAATATTCTTTTTTTTTTTTTTTAAATCATAAGGTTTGCATTCAGTTAATCATGGAATCAGTACAAGCTTCATTACAAATGATGTGCTGAATTAAAGAGAGGGGCCAAATGACACATCTTGATTAATAGCTCCAAACCTTGCCAAATGATGTTCTGCAGAATTACTACCTTATGTTTCTCTAAAAAAAACTCTATCCCTAATTAAATTCTTTATTCTAAAAAAAGTACAAATTAATCAGACCAAATGATTGGTCAAAGCCTTTCCGGTATCATAGAATTTCCCTAGAAGATGTTCCATTTAATTTGTCCTTCTTGTTCTTCCTTTCCTACTGATGCTGCTGCTACTTTACTAATGTGATGGAATTGAGATTTATATGGAAGACCATCCTTCAGAGCCATTAAAAGTAAGAAATTGATCCATTCTAATAGGAATTGACACCATTCAAGTAAGGAATTGTGAAGCTTTACCTACATATGAAGGATCCATTGAAGTGACAAATTGTTGAGCATGAGAACATATCAGTGTTAGTCGTTAGTACATTAAATGAACGGTTATGATCAATGTTGAGATCTTTGCAACTATTATACAACTTAATTTAATATTTTTTTGTTAAGCAGATAGTCTTAATTGTATAACATTTTTTTTGAGATGGGAATAAAGAGATGGTTACCATGTTGGCAAGGGTATTTTTGTCACATTAAAAATAAATAATATGACATATATATATATATAATTTTTTATATATGTTGGAATGGTTTTGTCTAATAACAATCTCCCTTGAATTTTGATGAAAACCCCCTTAATAAATTTTATGATGTTGGTTAATTGGTTGTAAATTTTTCCGAAATCATGTCTCTGGTATCATATTATAGTTTAGTCAATAGTGATATATAAATTGCATTTAGTCTAAAGTCTCTACAAATAAGATATAAATACATAAAAAAATTATATATTCCAATATATGATTCTGAAATCATGTTGTATCAGTATCAAGGACCAATGCAATGCGTAGAATGGTTCAATATTGCACCATTCTTTTCGTATCGGTTCATATTGGTCCATATAGGTTGGCATCGATTGATATATATGTATGTATTGATCGGAACAAGCCAAGTAATTTTGAAATTCAGATTTAAATGTTAGCTACAGTCGGTTACCACCATTAATGCCATGAATTTTTGGATTTACATCATTACTTATAATCCAAATAATAAACAATGTTGGTAGGATCTATGACATAGCAGAGACCATGGATCAAATCCTTCTTCTGTGTAGCCAAATGAAAAATAAAGTACAAATATTTTAAACTGCCCTTAAGATTTAGAAAATTGACTAACTCTACCCCTACCCCTACTATTTCAGTATTATCTTAAACTCCCCCTAAACGTTTATGAAACCCTTCAACATATATGTGCACATCAACAAGCGAACCTTTTTTTGTGGTACAAGCAATTTACTTGTTTGGCAAACAGATTGACGACAAAATCAAACCCAAACACGAAAGAACCAACCACTACTTTTATACGCTAGAATAACAAACTCTCTCTCAACTAAGCTATCTGTCATTATCATCATCATCAGCCTTATCCTAACCCACTGGAGCACAATTGCCATTCCTTCATTCCACTCTAACTAGAGGCTAGAGTCATATCTCCTGCTAAATATTCTCGTCCAATATGAAGGGATTTAAATATATCTGCACCCACAATCCACACAGCACATATGGTTCTGGATTTAGATACAGAAGAAGAAGAATGAGACGTGTAGTCAAGCTCCCTCAGCCATGGATGATACCCACAGCCAGCCTTCTTCAAGTAATATCTCCCCTGTCCCCTATTGTAGAAAAGAAGGGTGCCTGTCTCATTCACTAAAAAGGTGAATGATGCTATATATATATATATTTGTTCATCCTAAAAGAGACAACACACAAGGGTCCCATTCTTTGTTTGGAGATAAGACAGACACGTAAGGAATGACTTGTACTGTTCTAGTCAATACCTAACCGCTGCAATGATACATGGCCTATAACATGAATCGAAATAAAAAATGCTGACTGTGATCGGTTAATCAAAATATTCCCTGCTTCATTATAATCTATGGATTGGCCATGAACCCTGGCTGTAGTTTCTGTGGAGAAGCAGTAATAGGAGAAGTAAAATTTGCTCTGAATTTACAGATTCAATAATCCAACCAATTGTAAGAGTAACAAAAAAGGAAAAAGAAAAGATTTCACTCACAAATGTAGAATGAAAGGAAAGAAAAATGGTATTATCAGTCAATATTAACAGGACATCTCATCTACCAGGCAGTATCTGATTATGTTCTACCGGATTCTCAAAAATCCGAGACGTTACTTAGCAAGCTCAAAGAGAAGATTGCTACTTTTCCCTAGCCACGATTATCTCACCTCCTCATGCTGCTGGTGTGATAAGCCTGAAAATTTCTCTAGGCTAGCTTGGTAGCTTTATACGTCTGCAATGCAACAAAAAATAGTGATTCTTTTGGTTTTGAGTCAGTCATCCTCCATGAACAACTTCTGTAACCCCTGTAAATCTTGTCAGCTGTTTGAACTGAGATAGCAAATTCTGGTTTTGTCCAAGTAAACCCCCCCCCCCACCCCACAATGTGAGTATTTGAGTTTCTCTTTCACTCTTTCATGGGAAGATTCAAGCCACTGGTGTCTGTCTTAGACGTAATCTCAATTTCTCAAATAAAAGGGCAGACCGTCTCCTCTAACAAGTAATTTTCAAGAGATGTATATTGCTACCTCCAGTTCTGATGCTTTCATTTCCTATATAGGTTTGCTTCATGGAAGTGAACAAAATTAGCTAAGACAAGGAAGAGATGGACGGATTTGAGCAGAACTTCCAGCTGCTGCTTTAGAGGGTGAAGGTTTTAGATTCAGATGCTTCAGCAAGAGCTTCAAGCATGTTTATGACCTCAGTTGTATCGTCCAAATAATACTTGGCTTTGCTTGGCTTCTGCCCCACTGTGCAAGCAAATACTGCTGTGGTGGAAGAAAGAATGTTCCTCAACATTGCATTACCAATTGTTTCGAACATGTCCTCATCAGATCTATCATCACCAATACACATCACAAACTCGGCTTGCTTCCCATTCTCAGACATTGATGTGAAGATCTTTTCTGCAACTAGGCCTTTGCTGACTCCCTAGAAACAGAAAAAAAAAATCATGTATAAAAGTATCAAAGCTGGCAAAAGTTAATAAATTTAATATTTTAAACAGTGGGCAATAGAAATTTAGTAACTTCTTTTTCCATTAGTTGCTATTATCAATTGGTGTTATCAACTAGGCAAAGATAAACAAGGTCTGTTTCCAGTCTCATTGACATCATCCATACCACCAATGATGCATGACTACGAGATGAAAATAACTATGGACCAAACATGGTTGGTTTAAAAACAGAGTCCAAAATATTCTCAGTGATGCAAGATACAGTGCTGATACAATTAAGGCTAGCTTTTTATCCTTTTTACCCTTTCTGTGTTTCTTTGTTTCAAAAAATTAAATTCTTTGATTAAGAAACATATCCATATAAAATAAATAAGAGAGTTGATGCCATTGAACATACCTGGGGCTTCACCTCAACAATGAATTGACCACTCTTCACAGCAACAGGTTCATTGGCTAGTACACTCTCTAGGTGATCCAACATCTCCTTTGCTTGACTAGATCCAAAGCCTGGGTCTGCATCCCTGTGGTGCCAAACGAGGGCACTCTCTTTGGTTTCAATGGCAGAACCATCAGTAGATTCTGTATACAATTTCATTACGGGCTCAGCCATCTGTATCCACCCAAAATCGGTACTCGGGCCACAGACTTCCCATTCCTCATTGGTCGGCCACCTGATTTGCTATGAATTAGAACAGCAACAAACAAACTTCCAAACAAAAACAAAGATAAGAAAGCAAGAAAAAAAGGAAAGGAAAGGAAAGAAGAAGAAAGGTAGCATACTTCATAAAGTAGCCATGCTCTGCTGCGATCCCAAGCTTCTCACATGGAGAAAACCACTTGCCCAAGCTCTCTCTCCCTCTTCCACTGACAATGAAAACAGTATTCTTAGGATCCCCACAAAGTGTGTTTAGGATTGAGACTACCTCTTGACTTGGAGTCTTATTGATGGATGTTTGAGGCATAACAGTGCCATCATAGTCCAGCAGTATGGCCCTACTCTTCGCCCTTGCATATGATGACACAATGGTATCAATGGAAAGTTTTCTGAAATTAGGATCAAGAGCCACGACTCTGAAGCCAAAGCTCAACCCAATTCCCCAGCATCTTCTCCTAAAGTGGTCCTTACAAGTTCTTTCCAAATCTTGCAAGAAGCTCTTCGACCAATAAGCCACATCATGGGTGCTAACATACCTATAATGCTTCTCATGTCTGAGTTGTTTCTCAGGCTCAGCCATTGAGATTGCTTCATTCATTGCCTCTGCAGTAGTTTCAACATTCCATGGGTTGACCCTAATTGCCCCACTGAGTGACGGGGAGCATCCAATGAATTCTGACACTACTATCATGCTCTTCTTGGGTCCATTGGATTCTACATCCGTCTCCGACACAGAGATTCCCTGTCTACACGCAATATACTCATATGGAGTGAGGTTCATCCCATCCCTGACAGCTGTTACCACAACACACTCAGCTATGGTGTAAAAGGCCATCCTTTCACTTATTGAAACCGGTCTATCAATAAACTCTATTGGTTCATAATTGGATTGTCTGAATTTTTCATTGATCCTATTGTAATTTGCCTGTATCTCAGCTTGTGTTTCCTCCAAATCTCTTCCCCGCCCCCTTGCGGGATTCACAATCTGAACCAGAACAGCTCTTCCCTGCCACTTTGGGTGTTGCCTCAGCATCTGTTCCATTGCTAAAAACTTCAAATTAATCCCTTTAAAGATATCCATGTCATCAACACCAAGCAACACGATCTTACCTTCATATTTCTCTTTAAGCTCTCCTACCCTCCACTCCTGATCAGCAAGACTTAGCACAGACTCAATCTGACCCATATGTACTCCCACTGGCATGATCTTGATCCCCACAGTTCTTCCATAATATTCTAATCCAATATAACCTCTCTTTGACTGATATTCCAAACCCAACATCCGGCTGCAGCAAGAAAGGAAATGCCGAGCATAATCAAAGGTGTGGAAGCCAATCAGGTCCGAATTCAGAAGCGCCTTGAGTATCTCCTCTCTGACAGGTAGAGTCCTATAGATCTCAGAGGAAGGAAACGGGCTGTGAAGGAAGAATCCCATTCTCAACCGATTGAAGCGCCTCCTTAAAAAGGTTGGCAACACCATCAGATGGTAGTCATGGATCCAGATATAGTCATCTTCTGGGTTAAGCACTTCAATCACCTTCTGTGAGAACAACTTATTAGCATAAACGTACGCTTCCCATAGAGATCGATCAAAGCGCCCGCCATGCTCAGATGAGAAAGGGAGCATATAGTGGAAAAGAGGCCATAAATGCTGCTTGCAGAAACCATGATAGTATTTACTCAAAACATCAGGCGGAAGGAAAGCAGGTACACATTTGAACCTCTCTAACAGTATCTGTGAAACATCATCTTGTTCATTCACATCCACGTCCGCCCTCAATGACCCAACATATAGGACCTCCATGTCTTCAGGCAAACCGTCCTTAAGCTGCAAGAGCAACGAATCCTCGTCCCAACTGAAACTCCACCCATTATTATCCGGCCTCCGCTTGGCTTTCACAGGTAGCTGGTTGGCAACAATGATTATTCGGTCCTGAATAATCGAGGACGGAACGTCCGAAGACACACTATTCGCCTGATCATCATCGAGCTCAGAGACTATACCGGGCACAGTCATTACCCGCGGAAGCCGCTTCTTTTCACGCCCCAACGCCGGGAAATTCCCCGACGCCAGATCTAAAAGATTGGTATACGATCTAGACAACATTTCGTTTCTCCTTCTCCAGAAACTAACAAGATCTCCTCCTTCTTCAAATGGATAAGTCTCAAAAGATCTATGCAAAAACCTTTTCTCTTCTTACAAAGGGATATTCAAATCAACCGAAAGCCAGAAACTGTAGGATTAAAGAGAAAGAACAGATCGATAAAAGAACCAGAAAGAACCCTAGATTTTCATGATCCTAACAAGAACACACAAAGGCAGGCGGCAACCCCACTAATATTCTTTATCGATTGGGAACAAGTGATTCGAAGAAAAACCGAATTCAAAGAAGAAGGAAAGATTCAGAAATAATTTGTCGGGGTCCCCTAAATCCTTTAAATTTCTACAACACAACAGAGAGGAAAACGAACAAAGAATTGGAAATTAGGAAACTAACCGCTGCTCTTCGAAGAAGAAAAATAAACTTGCTTCCCTTTCTTGTTCACGTCCACCCCTCGATCTGGAAATCAAGATTCCAAAAGAAACTCTTGATTTCTATTTTGGGTTTGAAGAACGAAAACTCTAGGGTTTGGTCTTCCACTTCACGTTATAAACTCTCTCTCTCTCTCACTCTCTCTGCCTCCACCGGTAAAGGCCAGCGAGCGATTTGAATATTCAAGGAACAAAAAATAAAAAAAAAATCAAGAAAAATGGAAATATAATAAAAGAAAATATTTAAATTTCTGGAACGAAAATGGAAGAGGATAAGGTCGACCTGCCGACTATCCCCACCCGCCAGCTGGCACCACGCAGTCATCCATCACGCGCTCCTTTTTTTGGCTTCGTACAAGCCGCTCGTCGTCAACGTGTCGCAGTCAAAGATTCGCCACGTGTTTTCACTGCTCCGGATCAAATGGCAAAAACGCGTTGAATCTCGACACCCGTGCAAAAGGATGGGCCATAGAACCGGTCCTGGTCCGGGCCGCCCGGGCTAGCTGGCCGAGTGGCCGGTCATCGTGTCGCCAACTAATCCAGTCCAGTGCCCGAGGATAACGCGACGGCACATGTGTGACGTGGAGGTACACCCCTTAGTCGTAATGACGTCAGCAACCACCACGTTTCTCTTGCTCCCCTTGTTTCCTGTCTTCAGTCTTCACTCTTCTCAGTGTTGTGAATTGTGATGGACTGATGGAGTGGAGCTGGCCCGGTTTTTTTCTATTTTGGTTCTATGCACATTAATAAATAACTACTCCCGTCAGAGAAATAGTGTCACGTTGTCCTTTCTGCTTTTCGTTATGACAACCGTATCCCCATGCTTTCCTTTGTTTTGTAACTACTAGTGTACCTACGATACCGTCGTTTCGCATTCACTAATTCACTTCATCCCCCACGCCCACGCTCTGTCGCCTCCTGCATTTTGGTATTTTACAAATTCGCCAAATGTGGATACGGGTGCACATGGATCAGATTGATCTTCGGATCGGATTCAGAGCACCCCTATGCGATCCGAGGAGATTCGATCTAATATAAATGTTATATATTTATTTATATAAATATAATATATATATATATATATATATACGTTATTTATTTATTTAAAAATATTTTTTTTATATTGTATTTTTATAAATTTGTTATATTATTTCTATTTTTTTATAAAAACATGTATATATATGATAAAAATAATTAAAAAATACTTATATTTTTTATTTTTCTTTATTTAAATTGGTATATTTTATTTATTTATTAATTAAAAAAAAACAAATCGGATCATATCATATCCAAATATCCGATTGGATTTGCATTCAGATCCATGTCTATTAGATCCGATCAGATCAGATCGGTTCATAATAATGTTGGATTGGATTCGGATATATATATCCTGATTCAAATCTGATCCAATCCATTTACATAATGCAAAGAGTCGGGGTAGCCGATTTAGTCAGGTTAAAGTCAACCCTAATCCAATACAACCTAGATTTTGTGTGGGACAATTGCCATTTACCAGAAAATTGGCGCTAATTCAGCGTCAAATAAGTATTTCTCCCAATAGGGCCTGAAATTTTGTGTGGTTAATCTGAAATCCAAAAACATTTTTCTTAATTTATGTGAAAGTCATTCATTGGGAGGAATAGCAATATGATGTTTCCCCAATGGTAAGGCACTTTTTCACTGTTTTGGTGTATGTGGTGTCTAGGGTGTTGAGTTGTAAGAAAATGTTTGAACTCTTAAGCATATTTTTCTCAATTTTCAAGACAAAAGTTAATACAAAACATTTATCAATTAAATGCCCTCCATACAAAACAAACATCTAATCAATCTTAGCATTGACCAAATTTAGGGGTGTAACTGGACTATGGTTTAAATGGATACATCTTTGCCTATTTGTAGAGGTGTACGAGTACTTTATAAATCATGTATCTTTTATTATTATTATTATTTTAATTTTTGTTTTATGTATATACATGCATACTTACATATATACATACATACATGCAACAACTTTAGTTGTTGCGGGCCAAAGTTACCAATTCACACCCATGTTTATGTTTATGGTCAAAAGGAAATAGGGGCAATTACTATTTTACCCAATCTCATGGCAATGTGGCATTCCCAAGAATGTTCTCAACAGCCTATGCTGTTGGCCCCTAACAGCCAAAGTTTTTCCACATATATACATACATATTGAATAAAAAAGTGGGTTCCTATAAAAAACACTTGTAAACATGTATATTGGATATTCAAAGACATGCTACAACATGCCTGATGTGGAGTGTATGAATGCCAAACACAGTCAAGGCACGCTGGGGTTGGTTGAAATTTGAAAATAGCATCCGATTGAAATGGACCGAAACTCGGATCCACTTCAGACCTGAGTCAGATTCTACCTTGTTTGGGTCCATTAGGTTCCCTGAGTTTCCCGTTGAAATATAGATGGGACTGATTGACTAATGGGCTTTAAAAATAATGGAAATCTAAATCTTGTCCATGCAAGTTATCTAATAGAATTTGAATAGATTGGAAAAGGCACGTCTAATTAATGAAGTTTTGGACTTCATAGCCCACAGATCCATTTTCTCGAATGAAGGTGTTTTCTGCATTTTCATTTCTGTTCACATTTCAATTGTATATATGTTGACACACTGACACCGACAGGGTTGGGCAATCGGAACAGTAGTTGGGGTGTTTGGATCACTTCCTCCAAATCTCCTTAAAAATGAAAAAAAAAAAGGAAAAAATTGAGGGTAAAAGAAAAGAAAAGAAATATATGAAATGAGTCTTTAAGAGAAACCCATATCACAAAAATGATAAAAAAGGGGCCAAATGGTAAATAATTTATGTAAAATATTAGATTGAACCGGTTCATTTGTTTGATAATTGAATCCGGTCCAGGTAATGAAACCACTGCTTCCATGTCCAAGAGGATCAATGTAGCTTTTTAGACAGAAGTAGAGCTGTCAATGGGTTGGGTCTGATTTGGAACAGGGTGTATAAGTTCTGCCCCAATTATTACTATATCTTATACCCAAAACCAAACCAATTATTAATCGGGACAATCAGGTCTGAGTCTGACCTAATAAGATTTGATTATTCTTGGCATCTATAATTTACAATGATAACGAGAAGTTAGAACTTCATTTTGATAATATAATCTTGATAAAATTGACATATGATAAATATGTTCTTTAAATCATAATCTTGATAAAAAACAGTCCTAACCCAATTATTAATCAGGACAAAATAATAAAACCAGGACCAACATTCAGGCAGTTCAGTTCTAATGTATAAACCTAACCCATTGACAACCCTAGGCAGAAGGTAATCAGGACCATTGAAAAGTACTAGTTGGAAGATTGAGTGGTTATGAATTTGGCAAGGAAGGATTAGGATAGAAGTATCTGGTTTGGGTTGGTTCAGGAAAATTACTCGGTATAAAGTTTTCAATTCCTTCAATTGATTGAATTGAATTGAACGTGAAAAGCATTTAAAACATATAGAATGTGGAAAAGCACTGAACAACTAGAATTTGGGTATTTGATTGAGTAGTTTCTTCATCTGATAAGAAATCCAAGTTGAATCCAAGTTGGTTCAGTCCATGGCAGGTCTAGTTAGGTTTGGATTGAGAAATGGAGCCGACTATCAACCCAAATTCAGGCATATAATTATATAACTGGGTTAGTTGACACCTAACTTGTAAAATAAAACCATAAAACCATGTAGGTTGTTGCCTTGGAGTCCAGATCTCCTCCTCACACCAATCTCACAGCATATTCCAGCGGTATATCGGGAACTTCTCTAGTACTTGTTTGTTATTATTTATGGAAAATGTTCTTAATACATGACAGGATGTGTATGTGAGGTTGGTATGAAGAGTGCTTTGTGAGGAGCATATTCCAATTTGTTGTTGTTGGAAGGTCAGGAAATGGCAATTTTTGTCTTTTGACATATTTTGCCTATAGATGTCAATTGATTGGGTTTACATGATATTGGCGGAGGGGGCCTTGCGTTGCAGGGGCTCGCTCATAAACTATCAGGCTCAAGCTTAATTCGAATTAGAGACTTGAGCTCGAGCTCGAGTTGGGCTCGAGCCAAAAGCTCGGAAGTTCGAGCTTAGCTACCTTTGATTGTAGGTCTCTCAAGCAGCTGAGGTGCCGAGCCGAAGTCTCCCTCAATTGCCGAGGTGCCAAATCGAGGTCTCCCTCAACTGCTAAAGTGTCAAGTGGGGGTTTCCTTAGCAAGCAAGGTGTCGAGCTAATCTCTCTCTTAGTTGACAAGGTGCGGAGTTGAGGTCTTCCTCAATTGCCAAGGTGCCAAATCGAGGTCTCCCTCAACTGCTAAAGTGTGAAGCTGGGGTTTCCTTAGCAAGCAAGGTGTCGAGCTAATCTCTCTCTTAGTTGACAAGGTGCCAACTTGAGGTCTCCCTCAGTGGTCGAGGTGTCATCTAGCTTGAGCTCGATTTGAATTAGAGACTTGAGCTTGAGCTCAAAAGTTTGAGCTCGACTCGACTTGAACTCAACTACCTTTGATTGCAGGTCTCCTAGCAACTGAGATGTTGAGCTGAGTAGGGGTGTCCATGAAAAACCGAAAAACCAAAAAACTGAACCGAACCGAGAAAAATGAACCGTAAAATATGGTTAACTAAACCGATCGGTTCGGAATTTTTGAAAAACTAAAGGACCAGTTCGATTTTCGGTTAACCTACAAAAAAACCAATGGTTAACCGAATCAACCAGTATATATATTTATATGTATATTTTATATATATTTTTAATATATGTCACATATTTTCTATGTATTATATATAAATATATATTCATTATATATATAAATATATACTTATTTTATATTTATAATGATCTATTTATAAATATATTATATATTTTTAAAATATTTATAATATATTTTATATCATTTATTATTTATTATTTATAATATAATATTATACATATATTTATATAATATATTATAAATATAAAAAGCCAACAACTGAAGAACCGAAACCGGTGGTACTGGTTCGATTTCGGTTTGGCAAAATGGAAAAGCCGGTACCACCGGTTCGATTTACAAAAAAGGGCCATGGTTCGGTTAACCGAATCGTGGACACCCCTAGAGCTGAGGTCTCCCTCAGTTGGAGAGAGAATGGCATTCTTGTAATTTATAAGGAGAGAGAGACATGGCAGGAGAG